AAAGCCATAGTTATAAAAACAGCTTGAAACAGGCCTGAGGATCAATGGAATAGAACTGAAGAATCAGAAATAATCGCACAGACCTATGGCCATCAAATCTTTGATAAGAGAGCCAAAATCATCAGAGGGAAGAAAGATAGCTTCTCCAACAAATGGTACTGACAGAACTGTCTATACATGAGTGGAAAACTGAAGTTAGATCCTTATATATCACCCTGCACCAAATCAACTCCAAATGGATCAAAAACCTCCAAGTTAGAGCAGATACCCTGAAAATATTACGGGGGATACACTAAAGCTTGTTGGTCAAAACTTCCTAAATAAAAGTCCAAAAATATATCAAATAAAAGAAAGGTGGATAAATGGGATTGCATTAAACTGCAGATCTTTTGCATGGCAAAGGACATAGTTAGCAAGATAAATAGATTGGAAGAAGATCTTCACTAGACATATAATAGACAAGGGCCTAGTATCTAAAATATACCTAGGGCTCAAAAAATTAAGCCCCCAATAACAAATCCTCAAAGAAACCACCACCCCATTAATAAGTGGGCTAAAGAATTAAAAGCGATTTATCTGGGAGGAAATAAAAATAGCCAATAGACACATGAAGAAATGTTCAACAGCTCTAGCCATAAAAGAAATGCAAGTCAAAACCACATTGAGATTCCACTTCACTCCAGTCAGAATGGCCATTATCAAGAAAATAAATAATAGATGCTGGAGGGGATGTAGCCAAAAGGGAATACTACTACACTGTTGGTGGGAATGTAAACTGATTCAACCACTCTGGGGAGTGTGATTTTTTTTTTTTTGGGTGGGGGTGGTCCGGTCATGGGGCCTGAACTCTGGGCCTGGGCTCTGTCCCAAGCCACAGCGCAACTTCTGGCTTTTTTTTTTCTTTTTGCTTATGTGGTGCTAAGGAATCGAACCCAGGGCCTCAGGCATGCAAAGCAAGCACTCTACCACTGAGCCACCTTCCCAGCCCCGATTCAACCACTCTGGAAAGCAGTATGGAGGTTCCTCAAAAGACCAAACATAGAATTCCTGTATGATCCAGCAATCCCACTCCTGGGCATTTATCCAAATGATCACAAAAGTCCACACTAAAGCTACAGCACAACCATGTTCATTGATGCATTATTTACCCTAGCTAAGATATGAAACCAACCCAGATGCCCCTCAGTAGATGAATGGATCAAGAAAATGTGGTATATATGCACAATGAAATTCTATGCTTCCATCAGAAAGAATGGCATCACCCCATTTGTAAAGAAATGGAAAGACGGAAAAAATCATATTACGTGAGGTAAGCAAGACCTAAAGAAACACAGGCTCTGTGGTTTCCCTCATTTGTAATAATTAGTATATGTCTAGGATATATATATATATATATATATAATTAGTATATATAATAGATTATATCATATATATACTATCATATAATATTATATATTATATGATATAATATATAATATCTATATGATGTATTATATAATATATACAATTAGTATATGTCTAGTATATGTCCTAGCAGATGAGTAGAATAGCTCAATAACTATGTACATATCACCATATAAAATGATACAAATTGAAATGAACTCAAAGAAATGGAAACAATAGGGTTTTGTTTTGTTTTTAATGTATTGTGTGAAGTTATTTCTTAGTTCATTCAGGTATTTTTCCTTTGGTTTATCCCCCATTGTTACAATTTTTTATTTTGGTACCCTATTTTGGATATACGTTTATCTGATTTGGAGAAGGGAATGGGAACCACAAAATTATGGGACAAAGGACAAAGAGTGAACCAATGCAACAGTGATACTCATAAGACACTATGGGGGCAATGAACTTTACAACTGGGGAGGGAGTTGGGAGAGGAAAGTGGGAGAAAATGAGGGAGGGGGTACCACTGTTTGGCAAGAAATGTACTCATTACATTATTTATGTAACTGTAACCCCTCTATCCATTACCTTTACAATAAAATAAAAGTAAAAAATTATATATATATATATATATATAGTTGAATGCCATTTAATTAAATAAAGTAAAATGGCTGCTTATACACACACACACACATATATATATATAATAAATATAATGCTGCTACTTCACAGATTTTCACCTATCGCGGGGGGTCTCTGGAACATAATACTTGTGATAGGTGAAGGATCACTGTATTTTATTGTCTCTATTTTACACATGAGAAAACCAAAATCACTAGGTAAAGTAGGTTACCTAAGGACACGTAAGTGATAGAGCTCAAATTTACTCCCACGCAGGTGTGGGTTCCAGTTTCTGCTCACTCTTGCTCTCTCTCTGTCTTCTGAGGACTAAGCACAGGGCTTTGCATATACTAAGGAAGTGCTCTACCAATGAGCTCCATCCTCAATCTAGGGTCTGCTCTCTTAACTACCATGCTGTATTGTTTCATGGATATAATTCAAATCTGAATACATATCCGGATTGACAGGAACAAATTGACAATACCCTCATTTTCTTCCTTCAATTCATCTAAATGTCTTCTTATGATACACATCTTTTTGAGTCACAGAGGATGAGAGGTGGGTCTTACCAGTTGAAACACTCCACTTGGTCATTCCAAAACCACTCTATTAGAAGAAGCAGCAGGAAGTCTATTCCCAGGCCTGCTGCTTTAACTTATTGCTGGCTCTGTTCAAGCTCATATCCTGAGAATGGTTAAAAGTACAGCAAGAGGCCATTCCTTCTCATCAGCTGCTAAGACATCATGTAGTAAGGCACTGATGAAAGAGGTAAGGGAAAGCAGGTGCATTCGATGGCCTATTTGTTATTGTAAACAAACAATGGAAACATGCTGTCCTTATTCCAAGTGACCTATATGCTGCAAATGCACACATATGTTTTCTGTGTTTAAGTTCTCAAGTTCTTTCCTGGTGAACAGCTCCAACAAGATCATGTGCTAGCTAACTGCCTACCATCTTTGCTTTATTCTGGCTAAATGACCAGGTGAACAACATACCTAGGTCAGTGGATTCCATTTTGGTCCTTAGTCACAACTGGACACTTTCAGTGCAGGGAATGCAAGAGTAGGTACCACTACTGAAAGTGAAAAGTAAAACTAGACATGGAAGGTCAAAATGTATTCCTCTAGAGGCACTCTTTTTCTTCCTTTCCTCTTCTCTCTCATTCTCTCCTATCTCCTCCCTCTCTCCCCCACCCTCCTCCTCTCCCTTTCCTTCTCCTCTCTTCTTCTTCCTTTCTCTCCCCTTCCTTCCTTTCTCTTCCCCTTCCCTGCCTTCAAAATTGAAAATTGGATTCAATGTGTACCCTTCCTCAATGAATTCCTACATGAGTGCTAGAAATGCTGAGCTGTCCACAGCTAGGGCTGAAAGGAACATTGGTGTTTAGTGTGATGGTTTCTTTTTATGCTTGTATACATAAGGCTAGTGCTTCCTCTTTGGTTAGAAGAAAAGACTATTAACTGTGAAGTCTTAAATGTTGACATTTGACAGTCTTCCCATTCTATTTTTTGTACTTTATTGTTAATGACTTAGCAATATCTGAACTTTTACTTTCAGACACAGACTTCTCTCTCTGCAGTGCTGCCTAGGATTATGTACAGTGTGGATTATTCCCCTATTCTTGCTGCTCAAAAGTTAGCACCTCTCAGGAGATTACTTCCTAACCAAATTTGGTTAGAACCAAACCATCCAGGCTGTTAACTGGGCACGTTTTTATGTAGTAAAGCTTACAAGTGTAAAAGAATAGCAAACATGTCCTTGGAGAATAATATATGATGAACCAGTGTTGACAACAGGTATTGAGATGTGTGTGTGTGTGTGTGTGTGTCCAACATGGCTCAGTTCAGCTGGTCACCGTTTTATGCATTCACCCAGTCTTTCTGGTGGACTAAGTCATGGGTATGGAAACACAAAAGTTGCATCATGCTCAAATCATTCCCTAATATGTCAACTGAATTGGAACAATGCACACTTGGGAAACATGCTTCATAGCATGATTGACTAATCATCAGCACTCAAATGACCAGTCACTAATCAATATATGTAACAATTCAAATCCCTGCCCTCATGGAGCTTGCATTTTACTGAAGTTGAAATATTGATACATTTAAGCCTTGTTTCCAAATTATGAGGTCTATTTTATTTAGGTAAAAGTATATCCTGTGTCAGACACTGGTGGCTCACACCTGTAATCCTAGCTACTCAGGAGGCTAAGATCTGAGGATCATGGTTCAAAACCAGTCCCGGCAGGTAAGTGTGAGAAGCTTATCTCCAGTTAACCACCAGAAAACTGGAACTGGAGCTGTGGTTCAAAGTGGTAGAACACTAGCCTTGAGCAAAAGAGCTTAGAAGCAGTGCCCAGGCTCTGAGTTCAAGCCCCAGGACTAACTGGGGGGGGGAGATATACTTACTTGCAAATTAACTACATAAAACTCATTTCAAGTCCGTTGGTCTGTAATGAATTTTAAATAAATGCTACATTTTAAAAGATAGTCTAAAGTCTTAAAAATCAGAAAGCAAAGAAGCTTATTTTTAGAATTCCCATCAAAAACCAACCTTCCTCCCCCAAGTTCCCAAATATTTTATGTGCTATCAGAACAGCATATTATATATTAGCACATACAGTTCAAGATAATAAATGTTTGTAGGTTTATGCAGGGATAAACTATGGGGAACACAGGCAGCAAAGATGGTGCTGAGAGGGAGTTGAGTGGGCAGAGCCCAATTTACTGTAGAGCACATGGGCAGCAAAGATGGCGCTGAGAGAGAGTAGAGTGAGCAGAGCCCAATTTGCCTTACGATCAGTGGATCAGTGCATGAAGGCTCAGGTGCATGATAGGGTGTGACTTTGACAGTGATTGGTTCCTCTTCCTCCCCTACCATGCCACCCGCCCTTTTTGGCTTTAAAGGAGTTTTCTACCTGCTTGATTTGGCTCCCCGCTGTGTCAGATTGTCTCCCTGGCTGAGGGAGGCTGGGGAACCCGGGCCGCTCTTACCTTTCCTTGGACCCAGTCCGTCTTTCGTGGGAGGGGCGAAGACCCACTATGTAGTAGTACTTTTCCCTAATTCCTTAGCAACAAAACTGTTTCTTAAGGAAATAATGAAAACCCTATCATTTTCTTATGGATTTAAAGATAAAGATGTAAATTACACAAAACTGAAAATACTGTTTCATTAAATAATCGAGAGTTTCATTCAATAATTAAACAACCTGTAAGAGTCATCTTTTTATAAAATTAGCCTGTACAAACATTTTCTTGGCACATTATCCTTTTAATGATGTGCCATGCTGACATTGTGATACATATAAATATATTTGTGCACACAGATATTTATAGGTACACATATATGAAATACTAATATAGCTAATATATCTACCAAAAACACATTGTTAGCTTAAAAAATTGTTTTAAAAAGACCTTAGTTCCACACAGTTCCACACAGATGAATATTATTTAAGTATTTATTTTCTCAATTAGATTTCTTTGGTTGCACAGAAATCAGTCCTTGGTTTTGGCTGGTCTACACAGTGACCTAAAAATAACAAGAACTTTTAAAACAATGAGTGTGAGGTTGTGATCAAAGAGGAGAAGAGCATGGTACAGTAGAAACACAGAACTAGATATAAAAGCACCTGAGCTCTAATCCTGGCTCTGGTATGGGGTTTCTCTAGGCTTTGGTTGTAGGAATAATTCACATGTTCATCTCCAGGAGACACAGGAATGCTTTCTACAATAACCAGACAGCCAACACAAATGAGGGAAGTACTGTGCAGGGAAAGCCACGGGCACTTTCATGCCCATGCAAAGAGAAAAATCTCTCCTCAGTTCCAGCTGATTCTGCTGAGGGAACCCAACACTGTCAGACCACCTGCTTATTCAAGAGAAGATTTGATGAGAACTCTGCTGACTTAAAAAAATGCCAGTAAGTAATAATTTTACCAACACCATTAAGAGCCACTGCTTATAATAGGCAAAGCATAAGAGGCCAGGTCTGGCTGCACATTGCCACTCCACACCTACAGAACCAAGCTCTACGAAAGGCCCTGTTAGGTCAAACAAATCGTGACCTAACTGTTTCCATTTACACACATTTATGGTTAGCTCTCTTAATTCCCGAACAACATTTGTTGATCGCTTTCCCCTGCAGTGGAATCAGAACCTTCACATTAAACTTGCTTTCCTTCCTAAGTATGGGTTAAAGAGGGTCCACTGGTTGATAGGTTCTGTAAGTAGCCAAGATATCATTTAAACCTGAAAATGAACACAAAAGATGGAAAAGAAAGCTGGGACCCTACAGCAAGTTAAAATTCTAACAGGAGGTTTAAGTGTTTATGTTTCTTTCTTTTTTTTTCTGTAGAGATTAAACTTCCTTTTCTAACAGATGAAACTAGACATTATCCATCATTCATGCACTGTGGATTGCAAAACAATTATAACATAACAGTTGCTTGGAATTTGCTTCTAACACCAACCCTCCCCCAGCTTGGATGAAGGGAAAAAATATAAGTAACAACAGCTAACATCTGTTGAGTAGTAACTATGTCAGAACCTGCAGGAAGTATTCCTATATGTTATTTCATAGCTACAAAATACTACAAGCAGGAGGGAGAGAAAGCTATTTTCCAGGTTTTAAGCAAAGAAAACTCTTTTAAGAATGACTTGGTCAAATTAGGATCATAACATCCTAATTCCTGACCTGTTGTTTAGACTCTGCTAAGTTTTCATTTATGAATGTTACCTTTTTAGTCATTTAGACAAATTCTAGATATAGAATTTTAATCATGATATGGCTTGACTGAGTTAGTAAACATCAAGAATAGAAAGAAGGGCTGGGAAGGTGGCTCAGTGGTAGAGCGCTTGCCTTGCATGCATGAGGCCCTGGGTTCGATTCCTCAGCACCACATAAACAAAAAAGAAAAAAGCCGGAAGTGGCGCTGTGGCTCAAGTGGTAGAGCGCTAGCCTTGAGCTGAAGACCTGAGGGACAACACTCAGGCCCAGAGTTCAGGCCTCACGACTGAAAAAAAAAAAAAAAAAGAATAGAAAGAAGACTTCAGAACTGTAGCATGGAGGGAAGCTTTGATACTTAATTTTGGCATCTTCACAGCCACATTAGATCCTGGAAGCTAATGGAGGAAGGGCTACATAATTCTAAGGTAAGGAAACTGTAATGCAAAGTGTTTTAACCAGCCAAACAGTAATTCAAATATAGGAATAAGATGCACATCACAAACATAAAAAGACCCAGGAAAGACACCCTTTGAAGGAAATGATCCCTTTTGAAACACCTCCTCCACCAACCTCCCCCCACAAAATACACATATTAACAATATCTAGCCAAACCAGTGTTAATATCAAAGATCCTCACATGAAACATTTCAAACCAAAAGGGAGAATATAAAACTACCAATCACGTGTCTTTTATAACAGAGAGCTACTGTCAAAACTTGATGTATTTTATTGATCTTGGGATGTATCCAGAATCTTGTCAGTTTGGAATATTAGTTTAAGATCTGTTATCTCTCAGGATGTAGAAACATTGCAAGGTTTTGTTTTGGTGGTTGAGATGGTGTCTGTATAACCCAGACTGGTCTTGAACATATGATCCTTCTGATTCAGCCTCTTGAATGTTGGGATTACAGGTATGTACCACCATACCAGCAATTCCTTCACTTTCACGCCAAGTCTCTTCTTCTAATTAGCTTAAAAAATGTAAGAAAGTACCTTTATTATTATCATGAAAGAAGAAAAACTTTAGAAAACCTGACCATTTATTTGAAAAACCACTCATTAATCAGGCAGCACTTTGGACAGCAAAGTTTTATACTCAGGACATGGAAGCAAAGCAAGAATCATCTGATTGGCTACAGCGATGCACCTACCTCCTTTGGGCATGGTGCCATGAGGAAAAGGCTGATTGTGATTGGCTGAAGCTTGGCAGTTTATGATTGGTTGAAACCTGGCCATTTGTTACAAAAATATATAATTTTAAATTGTTTCAGTTTGTTTGCATACAAAATTAGGTTGCAGTTATAAAGGAATTCAAAGTAAGGAAACAAGATTAAAACTGGTGGCCTTCAGCTTATCTAACAATTCTATTTTTAATAAAAACTGTTATATCTGTAATTCTTATGTTTATGTAATATTTAATAGGAGAATTTAATAATAGAATTGTCTTCTATCAACATATTTTCTATCAATATATTTTTACAAATGCATAGAAAGACACATCAATGATTTTTATTTAAATGTTAAAAATAGGGATTCTTGGATGGTGGAATACTATTTTTACTTTTTCTTCTTAAATGAAATATCTATACATTCTTTTTTTTGTTTTCCTTTCTTTCCTTTTTTTGTCAGTCATGGGGCCTGAACTCTGGGCCTGGGTGCTGTCCCTCGCTCTTCAGCTTAAGGCTAGCTCTCTACCACTTGAGCCACAGCGCCACTTCTGGCTTTTTCTGATTATGTGGTGCAGAGGAATAGAACCCAGAGCCTCATGTATGCAAGGCAAGCACTCTACCACTGAGCCACCTTCCCAGCCCTATCTAGGCATTCTTTACAGTGATTTTAGGAAACAATTCTTTACAGTGATTTTAGGAAACAAACAGTGATTGTATATTAATCTGAAAAAATTAAATATAAAAATTTCAAAGAACTTAATAAAAATCTGTGACCCCTCCAACAATCAAAACAAACAACAACACTGTTAAAGTTTCTGTAGATCATTCCATATTAAAGAAAAATCCAGGCTACTTTGGCCCATCCACTCCAAATAAGTAATTTGTGTTACTTCATATTTAAATATCTGAAATATCTATACCAATGAAAATGCATATAATTTAAAATGAAATGCTCAATTAGACACATTGTAAGAATCACACATTTATGAATAATTTTAAATAGACAAAAGGAGAAAATCATTTATAATAAGCCTATTCATGATCTCCTATTACCATTATCCCAGATTCAACAAAATATCAAGGCTTTGTGACATCAATTTTTTTTTTTTTAATTTCAAGCAAATACTGAGCCAGGCTCTGGTGGCTCACACTTGTAATCCTAGCTACTTAGGAGGCTGAGGTCTGAGGACTGAAGGTCAAAACCAGCCCAGGCAGAAAACTCTGTGAGACTTTTATCTCCAATAAACCACTCAGAAAAAGCCAAGTGGTATAGTACTAGCCTTCAGGATAAAGAGACTCAGGGACGGTGCCCAGGACCTTAGTTCAAGCCCCAGGACCAAAGGGGAGGGGGAAGCAAATACGATAACCTAATACTCAGCCTAAAATCTTAGGACAAGAAACAAATAGCTGCCAAAAAAGAGAGGGAGAATCAAGATTGGTTGTGCTTTTCCTGTGCAAAGACACCAGATGTTATACCTACCAACCCCCCCCCCCCCTAGCTAGGAGTCACAGCAACTCTGTCATTTAAATATTATTGCAGGTCAAGAATCCCTTATCTCCAATGCAGAGGTTTAATGTTTTGTTTTTTTTCCAGGTAAGCATCCTTAATCATTAAAAAAAAAAAAGTCTTCATGAAAACATCTCAATCTGGAACTTTCTGAACATCCTATCAGTCCTCAAAAAGTTTCAGTTTCATGTTTTGAGCCAGGTGCTGGTGACTCACACCTGTAATCCTACCTGTATGGAAGGAAGAGATTAGGAAGATTGCAGTTCCAAATCAGACTAGGGAAGAAAAAAAATCTTTGGAACACCATCTCAACAGATCGAAGTTGAGTGTGGTAGTGTGAGTTACTCATCCCAACTACAATTGTAAAGCCTAAAATAGGATGGGAAGTGAGATCTCAAAAATAGGAATAAAAAAATAAAGTACAGGAAGCATGGCATCTGCCTAGCAAGTGCAAGGCCCTAACTTCAAACTCCAATATCAGTCCCAAGGAGAAGGAAGGGGGGGGGGAGGTGGTGGTGGTGGTAGCTGAGCTAGGGATGCTCAACCTGTGTCAGCATTGTTCAGAGAAGAAAATGAGGCTCAAAGAGATGGAGGTCCTGTAAGCTTAAACTGCTGTCCTAGTACCGTTCTACATTTCCTTCTTTGGCCACCCTGCCCTAGCCAGTTTCAGTGGATGAATGCCCGGAGAGGCCTTGTTCTGTTACAGAACACAAAATGACAAAGTGTCACTGTAAATCTGGGGGAATTAACCCCTGGACTCTGGATCCGAAGAGGAACTATTATTGTTATACCATAGATAATAATGCCAGGAACTTCTATTGTTAATTTAATTCAGATACCTGTTGTTTTTAACTCACTTTAAGATTTCCACAACTAAGATAAAAAATTTCCCTTTTCCTTAAAAAAAATCAAAACAATGTTTCAATATGCTCTTCTAATAATTAGAAGCAAATTCATTTCCCCTGATCCCAGCTAGCCAATATCATAATTACTAAAAGTGATATTAACTGCAATTCTTAGGCTTGCATCACTATGGGATATTTTTCTTTCTTTCTTTTTTCTTTTTGGTCCAGTCATGGGGCCTGAACTCTGGGCCTGGGCACTGTCCCTCAGCTCTTCAGCTCAAGGCTAGCGCTCTACCACTTAAGCCACAGCACCACTTCCGGCTTTTTTAGCGCTCTACCACTTGAGCCACAGCACCACTTCTGGCTTTTTTTTTTTTCTTTTTGCTTATGTGGTGCTGAGGAATCGAACCTAGGGCCTCATGCATTCAAGGCAAGCGCTCTACCACTGAGCCACCTTCCCAGCGCATTATGGGATATTTTTCGAAGCAGTTCTGAAATGTCTTGCCTGTCAGTTGTGTGTTGTTATATACACTGTAGCAAATACTTCCTAACACTCTTAATTTTGGCTGCAAACTGTTCCAAAATAAGTAGGCCTGAATGCGCCGTATCAATTCCATTAGTCGTGTAGTAAGGAGCATGAGATTTGGATTCCCATTACATATTGTGATTTAATAGCCTAGACTGTAGCCATTTAGAAGCCCAGCAAGCACAATGATTCTTGTTATTTTGAGACTGATTAAATAAACTCAACTATCAAATGTCTCCCATTTAGATGCATAAAATTTTGAGAACAAATAATATACCTAGATGTCAGTTCATGTTTATATGCCAACCTCTGAAGACACGTACACCAATTTTTCAGGACAGAAAAGAAAACCTTAGAGATTATCTGGGATCTGGGATCAGCTCCATCTCTTCATTTGCATAAGTGGAAACCAAGACCCAATTTTTGTTTATGTAATTCTTGTTTGGCTTTCTACTGCCACAAAGAACAATGTCAAGTAACTGGGCTATCTCATGAAGAGTTTTTCCATGCAATAGTCCCTGAGGTTAAATAAATAAATAAATAAAGCTACTAAACTAAATATAAACAGGTAAGCAATCAATCATTTCGTAAGGCTGTCACAAACCTCAATTGCATTTTGTAAGGCTTGCAAATCAAAGTACAAGAGCTCGAATGAAGAGTGAGGAAGTTTTGTAGTTCAAACTATATCCAAAAGTAAGCTTCCAAACCTGCTTCCCAGTAGATTTACTAAATATTTTCATTTACATTTTTACAAATGCCCCTTTCCCTAATCCTTTAGTATTTTTATCTCTGCGCCTTTAATCTTTTCCGAAAAACACAGACAAGCCCACCTATACCACTGCAACCGACCTTCATGATGAAACTGAGTGGCGTGCAAATTTCGTTCTTGTTGGCAGGGGGATCCCCAAGTGGAGAAACTAGGTCAGAGCTACTCTTGAAGCACAGCTTCCTCCTTCTCCAACTCCCAGCGAGACCCACACTGCAATCAGGGCCTTAGCTCACACACCCGGAAAGGAAACTCGGGCAATGCCCGGTGCCCCAAGGTGGAACCCACGACCATCAGGGCTCCCGGGACTGGCCCGCTCCGCGCTCACACTTCTGGCCAAGTGCCTTGGGGAGCAGTGTGCCTGGGACCTACGGGAGCCCGGCGAGAAGATTCCGGGGGGGGGGGAACCTCCAGGACCGAGGAACGCCGGGTCGAGGCCGGTGGGGAGGAAACAGCCCAGCCGCCACCGGCCCCGGAGCTGGGACCCCCAGGGGTTCCCCGGGGTCGAGAGCCGGGTGCGCAGCCGCGCGGGCGCGGACCCCTCCGCCCCTTGCGCTCGCAGGGCTTCGGCGGCCTCGTAGCCCCCACCCCGAGGCGGAGCTCGGGCCGAAGCCGCGCCCGCGAAGTTGCCCAGCGGCGACGGTAAGGTGCGAGGGCGCGGACCGCCCGACCTCAGCGGGGCGCCCCGGGCTCCTCTCCTTACCTGTCCTCCGTCGACCCCGCGCGGAGCTCCGGCCAGGCGCCCGCAGAACTTTCCCCGCCGGGTGCGCACAGGGCTGGGCAGGCCCGCGGAAGACCCCTCCAAGCCGCCGCCCTCCCCGCCCGCGGCCCGGCGCAGCGTGACCGCCGCGGGCTCCGGGGAGCGGCGCGGCGCGGCGGCTGGGAGCGGCGGGTGCGGGCGGGGAGCGGCTCGGGCGCGCGCTCCGGGGCGCGGGCGGGGGAGGGCGCGCGGGGCGGTCAGCCCTGGCCCCGAGCGAGCCCGCGGTGCGCCCAGCCAAAGTTTCCCAAGATGTCCTTCCACAAGTGCGCTGTGCGCCCGGTGGTCAGACGAGCCCGCAACTCGCTGCCGGGGGCCGACGGAGCCACCGCGGCGAACGGCCCTCGCTCGGCCCTCTGCCCGCCGCTCCACACCGACCCCGAACAAAACCGGGTGACGACGTTCCGAGAGCGCGAGGGGAGGACATTTGGGTTTAAAGAACAGAGAGGACGTTCATCTTTATTCAAATCGATGCGTAGATGGATGGGGGTCAAAAGGCACCGGGGCGCAGTGTATACCGATCACGAAAAGAGATGAAAAAAAGAATACAAATGTCAGAAGGATTCCAAAAAGCAATAAGCAAATGGGCAAAAGGTAAAGCAATAATCAAGTACCTTAAAAAAACATGATCTTTTAAGTAGTTGTAGGAAGGAGTTGCCACTCAACGAAGTAGTAAAGGAAGATAATGGATCTGGATCAATGTCACCTCTTTTCATTATTCTTTCCCATCTCTGCCATCCCTTCAGTTTTATGACTGTATTTCCCTCTTTCCTGTCTTCCTGTCTTTCTTCTCTCCCCCCCCCCCCCCTTCCCCGTGATCCCACCCCACAGCATGCGTTTCCTGGTGTTTATTTTGTTGGACTGCGAGCTAGCCTGTCTAAGGAATTACATGGTTTGAGTTCTCCCGCATCTCCAGCATATTTCGGTGAATACATGAACATCCAGTACATTTACTTCTCTCTGTGAAATTAGCACGATTATGGGTTGTTTGGGTGTGCCAAGCAGGTGGTGATGGTTGGTGGGGCACCAACTTCTTCGGGAATTTAAACTTTCTTGCTCGCTTTCACTCTCTATAAGCATGGGTAACCATGATTCCGAAACACACTTATCCAGCAACCGGTATCTCTTATTTGCTTTTTGTTTTTTGATCTCCACTCCACTCTCCCCGCACTCCGTCCCTCCGATGTCCCCTTCCCCCCTCCCCCGCCCCAATACCGTGTGTTTGAACTGGCTCTCAAGTAT